CCCCATCCCACCCCTGGAGCATATGTGAAAACTCCTGGAGATAACTAGATTTAATGCACGTGTAAACACACCCAGTACAATGCAAATTGAAATCAAATTCACTGTTGATTTTATGGTAGAAGTAGCCAAGTGCTCTCTGAACCAGTCAGAGGATTTCCAAATCCAGGAAGGGATAAGGGATTTGTGTTAGGCTGTTATTTTGTGGGGGTTTTTTCATTATTATTAAATTTATTTAGTACGGTACATTAATCCCTTATAATTAAGGCATCATTCTATGGAGTGGGACATCTCTGACACATTATTATCCTCATTCTTAAGGAGAGGAAAGCTATTTGCCTACTTCATGCAGCTGTATGAATCAGTTAATGTCAGAGCACATTAACAACCTAAACACTAATATTATTATTAGATATACTGGTGTGCTTATGTCACTGGAAAAAGGGAAACAGTTTTGGTGAACAATTGGAAAGGTAAATTAGATGTAGCGTTGCTAGATGTTAAGCAGGCAGTCTTTTCAGCAAAGGCATTTAGAGGCTGTGGTTATGAGGGGGATGCAAACATCCAGGTGACAGATGGCACTTAAAGGGAGCTTCAGTGAAACTGGACACAGTTTTCCGTCGCTTTTTCAGCTCTCAAGATATGCAAAAGGATAATAAATGATCATACAAAAAAAGCTAATCTGCCCTGAGAAGGCTGCAGTGAAAAAAGGATGCACAAAAGTCCAGAGAAGTATTTCTCCGCTGGTAAATTTTGACCACCAAAGGAATCACACTGGCACTTAGGGAGATATCGGAAATGTTATTACGATTCTAAAGCAAAGAAACATTTTCAGAATGACTTCAGACTAGCAGAGACCCTCAAAGAGTGTGAGGTCAATACTGTGGTTGCATTATATGGGTTTATCATTGTTACTATCAATACTTACCTTTACTGTTATTCATACAAGGGGGTTATGAGAAGAGGTATAACATCCAAGGCCTGTGCCCTGAGTGCCAGTAGTGGCAGGAACAGTGGCAGGGGCTGGTCTCACAGTGGCAGTGGCTGCTTCCTTTGAGTGGTATCCTGGTTGCCCACAATCACTTCTCTACTGTTAGGGAGTTACTTTGAATAAAGGGGACACCTATCTAAGAAAGGTAAGAAACACTCTACTATTGCAAACCCAGAGCAATGATGTGAAGAAACAAATCCTTGGGAGCCCCTTGTTAACATCCCAACACAAAATTCAAGGGAAAGTTGGGCTCATCTCACATCTGGCTACCAATAAACCAGCAATTTTCAAAGGTGATGCTGATCCCACGTGACCAAAAACATTTATAAGAGCTTGCGGCAAACATCAGCAGTTCAAAATCCTTATGCTGTTAAACTGTGAATGCTGACATGATAATTGCAATAAGTAATCAGTAGTGGACCTGATTCTCCTTTCACACTAATGCAAATTGGGAGTAGGGATGATGCACTGTTGTAAAATTAGTGTTAGGAGAGAATTAGGCCCCGTTTGTTCTTCAGGAAAAGCATACGAGCATTTCCCACAAACTGGGCTGGGTATAAAGTTGTTTGCTCAGTGACAAAAATTTGCTTACTAGGAAACATTTAACAACCACCACCACGACAAACAACAATGACAAGGTGCCACCAAAGAGACGTGATTATGACCCATGTCCCCATTATGGTAGATGCTTTGAAAGCGCCGAACAAAAAAGACAGAGCCCGCCCCTAAGACCTTGCAAGATAAACAGCGAATGATTACAGATGGATGGGAGCGCATATAGGAACAGCGAGACAATATTTGTCAGCACGATAAGCAGTGTTCTCAACACATCAGCAGCCTTGCCAGTGTCTTTATCAGCAGAAAAAAAGGATTTTGAGGAGAGCTTTGGAGAAGCAGAATGAATCTGGCAGATGTTTACAGGGAGCTGCTTCTGAGTGCGAGGAAAAAGTATGAAGCTGCCTATTCAAAAACTGAATTAGTGGACAATACAGACTGGTATCATAGGCCAGGCAGAGATGTGAGTCAACCCCTCAGTACCGAATGCGTTTATAGAGATGCAGCCCTTCAGTCTGATGCAGAAGAGAAGAGGAGCTACTAGAAGGATTAACAGAGAGGAGTGAATTCTCCAGAGGGACTAAGTGGGAGAATAGGTTGCATTTGTCACAGCCAGAGACATGAGGGGTTATGCCTGGATGAGGGACTTTTCTGTGTAGATCGATAGAAAAGGTCATATCTTGGGTCTACTAGGCAAGAAGAATCTGAAAAATTCTGTAGCATCCAAAGTGAAAAGACATCCAACTTGTAGCCTAAGATAGTAGTGCTAGCAAGACAGGAGATTAAGGGAAAAAGTCTCGGAAGGAGAAATAAAGAGCTCTGTTTTAACTATATTGAGCTTGAGCTAATTGGGGGACATCTGCGAGCAGGAAAAAGCAGGTCAAGACTGTAGTTTGGATCAAAGGAAAACTATCTAGAGATAGTAGTTACATTTGTGTTAGTGAGATTTATAAGGGGTAGATTAAAAAGATCGGGGAACCAAGGAAAGAACCTGGTAAAAACACTGCAAAAGGTTGCCCACTGACCCATTAGGATCCTGGCTTTTGCACATGCAGCCCAAGGTACACAGTTTGGCCAGTGTTATATCTTTGCCAGAGAGCTATGTAAGAGTATTATTATGGAGAGTCACTCTTAGAAGCAGCAGTGGGATGGTCCCATGGTTAGGCTTCATGGGTGCATGTATGTGAGCGCGGATGTTGGTCCAACGTGTTATAATTACAGCGTGTCAGAGCAGACTTGATTAATCGAGTCTGCTGGAGCGTGGCCATGACCGCACTCCAGCAGCCCCCCGTGTCGTGCGTATCAGCGTTCCTGTGCTTGAACGAAAGCTCATTCAACAAGCTTTCATTCGAGCACTCCCACTGCAATTTTGAAGGGCAGGGATGCTGATAGACAGCTTGCAGATAGACTTTGAGAGCCGCTCTAATTAAAGTACCACCCCCATGACATGCGTAAAAGTGTCCCTAGCGTAGGCCTGAGGAAACCTATGTTTGGTTCCCTGCTCTGTCAGAGACCCACCTTGTTCCCCCCATTTAACTTGGGGCAATTCACCTAGTATTCCGGTAGCTAAATATCTTTGAGGGTCTCAGTTTCCCCTCTGTAAAATGGGGGTAACAGCACTTTCCTACCTTGTGGCTGCATCACTACAGCAAATACTTTGACTGTGTGAGACACTAAAGAGCTACAGTGATGGGGCCAAATAAGGTCCTATGGGAGGCAGAGGCAGAATTCCAGCTGTGCTCTGAGGGGTAGTGATTTCCAGTGGTTTATAACAGCTGTCCAGCATGTTAGGGAAGCAGAAGCAAGACTGTCATAGCCAATGACTTTTGTCATCTTCCAGCACAGGGGAGGCAAAGCAGCAACAGCTATTAAAGCTCTTTGAAGCAGTAATTTTGTCTTACTGAAGTATATGTACCAAGTTTTATTTGAGACCTATAGTTGCTACCTTAATATAAATAAATAATAGGGAAGCAATTCCTGCTATTCAAGAAAGCTTTCAGTCACAAAAATGATTCCCTTTTCAACCAACAGCACCGGGCAGAGGTTGAATATATATATATTTTTAAAGAAATGATTGATTTCAACATGATTTATTTGTTTCAAAACCATTTAATTATCCCTCCTTTTCAGAGCCAAAGCACATGTACCGTGGTGTAAATACATATTTATAATGGATAATTGGGGGAAAATTTCACTGATGGCAGCCAGAATCATTTAAAGGCTATGACAGCTTCTGTTGTTTCTGCCATCAAATAACTTTAATTCAGGAGGACTGCAGCATGCAAATGAGTTCAAGTTAAATATAGGTGTCCACGTCTCACGTGTTAGCTTCACAGCAGGCACAGACTGGTACCCTCAGAACAGAGGCCAAGGAGCACTCGGGCCACATATGCTAAATGGTTTTCTCCCCCATTAGAGGTGGTCTCTAAGTCAGGGTTAAGACACATTAATGGGAAATGGGGGAGAGGGTGGGGAGCTTACATTGTGCCTGCCCTTGCTCTCTCTCGTCAGCTGGATATCATTCCCCAGAGTTGTCAAGCCAGTACTTTCACCAGCACTGGAATTCATTTTACAAGTGTTTTAAAACACTAGAGAGAAAAATAGTTGTTCAGCTGCTCACCTGAAAAAGCTGTCACCAACCCACTAGCCAACAGTCAGTTCTTCCACACCTGTCTTGAAAGCAGTGGGCCTCCTTTCCTGCTCTAGTAGAGCATCCTCATGCCACACTGACATAAGCTGCCTAATGAAACAATAAGTGGATCTCTTCCCTCTGTTTTTGTACCATAGCCCTTCCCTACAGTGGAATAGTATGGCCATCAACAAAGGGGTTGTCATGTCCCTGTGCACTGGTTGCTCCTGGGATATCCTCTTCAAGCTACTGGCCGCTCTTGTGAAATAGAGCAACTCCCCATTTTACAGGCACAGGGAACTAAAGCACCAAACTATTGCATGACTTGTCCTAGATCACTCAGGAAATCTGTAGTAGATCAGGAAACAGAAACCAAGTCTCACAAGTATGACACTAGATGCTGGGGTATTCTTCCCCTCCAACCTGCCTGAAGCAGGATAAAGGCTGTGTTCTTCCAAGAGCTGTGTACACACACATCAACTGGCTCCAGGAAGTCAGGGATATTGGCTGTAGCGGTGTTGGTCTCAAGGTGTAGGCAGACAAAACTCTAGGGGTAGATATCTTTCATTAGACCAACTAAATAGTTGCAAAAAATGTTTTTCTTTGCAAGCTTTCTGGCCCACGTGCCCTTCTTCAGGCAGAAGAGAATTCAAAGATTGTAAAATTTCTCCCAGGTAGAAACTTCACGTTGCACAGGGGAAGTCAGAGATGGTAGAGTTCCCCTAGGTGGAAAAGTCAGTTCGTAAAAAAAGCTGCTCTGTGACTATGCAAATTGAGTGCACACAAAGGCTGAAGCGGGCTGATTACCTGGAGGTGTCAGATGGCAGGCAGGGTGTTGAATTTTGCTTCTTCCTTGTTCAGGTGTGAAGTTTTCATTTCAAAACAGCTAATTACAATATCTTCTATGTTTCAGGGGCATTGGTTGTAGCTGTGTTGGTCTAAAAGCAAAGGCAGACAAAACTCTAGGGGTACAGGTGATATTTTCTACTAGCAAAATGCCCATCATAAATGATGGGG